AACATTTTTCAAAGCGACATCTCGGCTGTAACGAACTAACGCACTAATACACATTAGGACACTGACTCCGGTTCTTTGTGTATGCATGCATTGCAAAATTTGCACAAGCCGCTATGATTGTTAACTGAGTGCAGAATTTGCAAAACATACGGATACATAGAATCCTGCCTAGGTGGCGTTAGTTAGTTTGCCACGTCGCCATGTCCACTCCCGTGCTGAAGAAAGAGTTAAAACAATTGGCGAAACTGTTGACATTTTTTCTTTTTCTCTTCAATATATGTTTTGAAATGTTCGTAGATGATACGTTACGTATCATACGTAAATGAAAAAAAAAATTAATTGAATTTTTGCAAAGGGCGAGCGCAATTTGGACAGATAACGCTGACTACAATGTAAATCAAACGTATATCTGTTTCTCCTTCTTCTTCAATTCCTTCCCCTCGCTATACTTTTGCATTGTAGTAATCTTGTTTTACACAGATGGCGTTTTTCTGTAAGATATGTGACGTCACAATACAATCATATTGACTGCGCTTATCTCTCGAATTTTTGTCTCAATTTTATTTAATTGGAATTTGGGGTATATATCAGAGACTATTTTAAGCTGCAGTTAGTATCTTTTTCTGCAGTTCTAAATTGCAAAATGCAGTTGGGCACAACTACACTTTTCCGACATCCTCTTTAAATCGATTTTTTTGAGAAATTTCATTTTTTTAAGTTATGAAAATGATGGGAAACGATGAATTGGGGTTGGGGAAAGCTGATTTAAGGATCAAAAATATTGGACCTGTTCGGGATATGAAAAAAATCAGCCCTTGTAAAAGGTCAATTTTTGGGGACAAAATGGATATTATCAAGTGGTATCACGTCCAGATTTCAAAATTAACTATATAGATCAATAGTAAATGAGGAAAAAATAATTTGGTGAAAAGGGGGGTTGCCCCCCTTGGGTATTAGAGGGGGGGGGGGAGTAACCAACTTGTCCAAAACCTCATTGGATCAAAAAGTGATGTATGGCAAATTTGTTCAGAATGACGAGAGAAATTTTTTAGGGTAGCTGCCCTCCCCCTCTCCTCATCCCCTACGAGGTCTGGGATCTTTACCCCTTAATTTTTAATGTTTTCGATCAGAAACTTAAAAATTCAGATTAAACCTCTCTTAGGTGCTATGATGCATGGGTACAGTTGAAAAATCAAAGGGGGGTTAATTTTGAACATGCCAGCGCTAACGCGCTGGCGCGTTATGTATTCATTGATGACGCGCGCGCTGACGAATGTATTCAATACACACATTTTCATCAATAAATGCATAACGCGCCACCCACTCAAATTCCGACTCAAAAAGAAAGAAAATCGACTTTACAGTATCGACCCCCTAGGGGATGGGGGGAGGGGAGGTCAGCTACCCTAAAAAATTTCTCTCGTCATTCTGAACAACTTTGCCATACATCACTTTTTGATCCAATGAGGTTTTGGACAAGTTGGGTACTCCCCCCCACTAATACCCAAGGGGGGCAACCCCCTTTTCACTAAATTATTTCCCCACTCCCAATATATCGTTCCCCATCATTTTCATAATTTGACAAAATACCATTTATAAAAAAAATCGATTTAAAGAGGATGTCGTAAAGTGTAGTTTAGCCAAATAATGTTTACCTTTATCTTCAGGTCAGTTGAAAATGTCCCTCAAGACACTTGACAATTCAAAACCCGTTCCCCACCAATAAAACGTTGTATTTTTATTGTATCCCGATGGATATTTGTCCTGAGTTGATCCAACGCAATGATAGATCTAGCAAGTTATCTCTGTTAAATATTGTTTGAAAATGATGATGTTTACAGTGTTATCAAAGATTGTTATCAAGAGAATAATTTGCATTTTTGAACAGTTTAATTTTCTATCTTAAAATTTCACTGTCACTTCTTATTATTCGCAATAAGTTATAATATTTTCTAGCAAATTGCAAGACCAACCAACTTTTGTTTCATTTATTGACAGTTTTAACGATTCCCTTCGTTTTTATATAATCATATCGCCACATAAAAAAATCATTTCAAAAAGAACCATTTCTTGGAAAATGGAAATGTCGAAAGCGTATTTAAATCTGTTTTTTTATATTCATTTGAATTGCAGGAGAATCTTAATTTTATTCTATTTTGACACCAGCAAGTACTCACTCTGTTCGCTTGCTTGTAGTTGTTAACCCATACAAATCATATTTTAAGAAGAAGCTGATTTTCTTCCTCTTTGAAGATATTTTAACATAATGTCGACCTCGAAAACGTTGGTAAACCATGTTATAACATCTTTTACCAGGATGACCGACCTCGATAACCATGTTTACCGGCTAAACCTTATTTAAAATGGTAAAAAATGAGTTAAATATCGGTGTTAAGTCGTGATAAAACACTCCGGACCAAAACCTTTCCAACGGATAGGATGAGTAGTTCAGCCGCCAACCCGAAACATACAAACAAAGTTTCGATTAAGAACATCTTATTCATGTCTCTTAAAAGTTGAAACTAGAAATGGATGCCTGGTTGAGATCAGAGTAAATAATAAGACTCCAAAGTTATAACTAAAGCAAGCCTTTTTCTATTCGAATGTCAAGTATTAGTCGTTGTTTTGTAATATTTTGTTTTCCTTTTGTTCATTCCGCGGTACAATTGTTCATGCAGCGCTACCTTAAAATTGAGTGCAACTTATTACGACCGTGGAGAATAAATTGCTTTCAAGAAAAAATATTATGCAAATGCGTTGATCTACAAAAAAAAGGTGCAACACATTTACACGGATTTAAATGAAATAAATGATTTTAAAATGAACAGCGCGAATGGTTTCAGATATTTTTTTGTCGTATCGTGACGGATCATTAGCATGAATGGATCATTTATAAAAATGTGTCATTGCTGCCGTGAAACGCCTTTCATTCGAATCGAATGCAAAACAATGCACGCAAATACATCACTTTTGCATTCAATGCTTGTGAATGCATGTTTTTCAATATTTCAAACACAAAAAAGAAATTGTTTTCAAACAAAAAAACATAAAATGGTTCCAAAGAAATTGTAGAAAATAAATAAAATAAAATAAAATAAAATAAAAGAAGAGGTGGATGGTCGATGGATGGCTGAAGCAGTGCGCTAAGCGGATAATAAAAAGATTTGTATGCAAGTCACACTTGTAATATAGAGAAATGGTAGAACGATAAACAAAAAGGGAGAAAAATAAAACATGAATCCAAGACGAACGAAGTGACAACGACTTTAAAAAGCTGTTGAATTCTTAGATAAAAGGCTACTAGGCTTTAGAAATATATATCCAACAATAATGCAACAATATATCGTTGAAGTAATGCGTTCGACTAAAATCGTCTGTCTCGAACGTATGAAAAGAAGATGATTTAAAAGAAAAATGCATAAAAAGATCATGAAATGCTCGTAGATTATAGGATTGCCAAGTGCATTTAGTGTATTTTGCTCTTCTTCTTTTTCATCGTCGTCTTTTTTTATCTGAAACTGCTACAGGTCATGCACATCATAAGCTCGAGTTTCTCTCTCTTCTTCTCATCATCAGCATTAAAAATATATAAAATATCAAAACGGCGACGATGACGACCGTGTACGATGTACAACATCGAGAGAGGACACGCCAAGTAATAACAGAAAATAATAAACAAAAACGAAATAAAAGGAAGAGAAAAAAAGCATCAAGAGAAAGAATAACGAAGTGAATTACAGTACAGTAAATCGAAACAAGACTCCCAAAGCACATCTTCTTTTGTTGTTATTTTCAGCGATCGTCGTCTTCATCGTTGTCAGTTAGGTAAAGTGAAGACGCGATAAGAATGGAATGACTCTGGTCCAGTCAGTGCATTAAAATAGGGAAACATATTACATAAAACTATTTTGTGTTGTGCGTGCGCGCGCACATGCGAGTGCCGGTCGCTAAAATACGATCTGCGTGTAACACAGTAAACGCTGTTAAGCCACTAAGCCGAAATGTTCAACACAACAAAAAAAGAAGCGATCATATTATGTGGAGATGAGAAGGACATGGCACACGGATAATAATAATTGTTCAAACGCAAAATTTAAAAAAAATCGCGTGCCCTTTTTTTGTTCGCTCTTTTTGTTCCATTTTTCTTCTCTACACACACATATTCGGTCTGCCAACACATTAAATCTGATATTTTTTCCGTTTTTAATTTTCGTATGTTGATTTGTTTTGAACTCTTTTTTTCTTCGTTCGTACGTTTATTGTGAGAGAGCACATATTCAAGAGAGCATATTGCGCATACGCATCCTCCGATATGATGAACAAACGAATATAAATTTAAAAAAAATACACACATATATATACAGAAAGAGAGAAAAAACAAGCAACGGCGATGAGTATGACAAAACGAGTGGCCGTATTTTGTTATTCTGATTCGAGTTTGCCTGCAGCGAGTCTCGCGCACTCTTCATCGTATCTTTTATTCTTTCTACTTGCTTAATGAGTTTGTTGCAAATGAAAGAACGCTATGCGTTGCGTTTTTTTATTCGAAAAGAGATTATTCCCTGCTGTTGAGCCATTTACGCTCGCTTTCGTTCTCCCTTTTTTCTCGTTCACCTCGTCATTCATTCGATCGTTCTCATTTGCTCTATCTCTCATTGCGTTCGCTTCCCTTTATCTTCTTTTTGTATGCCCACGAGATATATATGTACATATTGTACAACGAATGCCGTGTCAATGCGAAACCAAAGGCAAGCAAACGTTACGAGACACAACCGAGTGTGCGTATCTAAAGTAGTGATAATTGCATTGGTGTGTGTGCGTTTGTGTATTTGTACACACTGCCTAAAGCTGAATGCGTTTCGAATCCGGGCAAATATCGAACGCAAACGGTTCAAAAAATTGCTTCGCTTCGTTTGTTTCGTGCAGGGCATGAAAGAGAGGAAAGAGAACAGTTGCACAATTCAACAAAGGGGCCCCTTTCAAAGTGCATCGAACACCTAAACAAGCGTATCTGTTGTATACGTTGAAAACGCAACCATAAACTATTTTTCTGTATGCACCCGTAAGGATTTTTATTTGAAAACGGGAACGTTTTGAGTGTTGACTTTTTTAGTTCAGGCGAAGTGCTCGTTGAATAAGGTTCATAATATCGAGTGCATACGATCTGTTTCAAGCCGACCATCTTCCAAGTGAAAAACATTTTCCTTTGCACCGGTGAATCCATACGGAACAACAAAAAAAACAACCATTCCATGGAATTCAACTGAATTAATTCATTTGGTTAATGTGAAACAGTGTTCGATTTTGAAACAAACAACATTCAAAACAATCGAAGTGAAATTTTCATTTTCAACGAATACCCTTTATTTACATTTTGAACTGAACTCTCCCGGCGAGTGCGTTTATTGAAAAACTCTAACGACGTAAAATAAAATGTGGAGTCGATCAAAGAAAAAAGAGTAAACAGTAAATGATGTGAAAAAAAATTCTTAAATCAACAAATTTTTTTATATATTCAATAGTTTCCATTCTTATTTTGTTTTGAATAACATAAACTGTAACATATAGCTATGTGAATTGTGATTGTGTTGGCTTAATTGTGTATTAGACAATCGATGGACGAAGAGAGACAATCGAAATAGAGATAGAGCAAATCAAATCACACAAGGAAGCACAAGAAACAACACACATTAATAATAAAAAAAAGTATACGGCATCAACGGACCGAAATCATTTAAGCGAAGAAAAAAGAAGAAAAAAATAAAAAATAACAACAACGATCTTTATGATAATATTTTCAAAGTTGTGTTACGACTCAAGTACAACCTCAAACAACTACACTCACGATCCCATCTGAATAATATTTGTGTATGCATCAGCAAGACAAACAAAGAGCGAAGAGAGAAACTGAAAGAATAAAAGATTGAGTGCCGAGAGGAAAACAACGGACGGTGTATCATCTCTTGGTGTTAGTGGTTTCTTATAAGTACAAAGAACGAAAAAAACACGTCAATATCAATTCATCCGACGTCATTATCACATCAGAGTGTTTTCAGTGTTCGGTGTTATTGTATCGAACGAAACCAAGTAGAACGACAGAATTCATCAACGGCACATCGAATGTGAGAAGATAGTTTTTGTATATCATCAGCATAAAAAAACGCATACCATCAACACACATCGCCCGTATATATATGTACGTATAATCGTTTAACGAAAGAGTAAATGTGTATCTGATTTTGATCGCTCTGCGGCACACACATTCACGACCGAGCGAGAAATTCAATACTCTCCGAAAACTCAAGAGAGTGAGAGAGCACACACAAAAAAAAACACACGCACACAGCACAATAACGCGAGAAAATACACAACGAAACGGGCTTGTATTTCAATACAAAACAGCGAACGAACAACAGCACGAAACACCAACTACGAATGAACAAAAAAAAAATTATAATAAAAAAACGAGGAATACACAATAATAAAAAGTTGTGTGGACTTATCGAACGGCAGACATTTTGTTTTTCATACGCGACGTCGTGTATTTAGCTAGTACATTTTGCCGTATAGAACGTGTGTTGTCATTGCGTATAAATATAAAAAAAATTAATCTCATTTTATTTTTCATTCTCCAAATTTTATTTATTACCTTTTTTTCGTTCAAATGTTTCACAATTGTGCTAAAAAAACATAGTCCAAACAAAGATTTTATCCGGCTAAAATCCAGTGTGTATACAGTATTCTCACAACGAGTAACATAAAAACAAAGGTGGAGAAAAAAAATAGATCGAAAACAATCTAACCCGTTCGGTATAATTGTGTATTGATCATATTCAAAGACTATGGTCGTTCGTGTGTTTTTGGGAAAATTGAAAAGAGAAGAAGAAACAATATTTTCAAAGGCCAAATTCATATTTGAATCCAAAAATTTCTAAAAAAGACAAGTTTTGTAAAATCTGAGGCGAAAAAAAAAATAGAAAGTCGTCCCAAATATAAGTGCAAAAATAAGACATTGTGTGTAAAGCCGTATAGTACGTACCTAACCAACCACAACTCATTCAAATTGGAACTACGTCGTACAATAGCTGCCGCACATTTTTTTGTTGTTTATTCACGATTATATTAGCGATAATCAATCAAAAAACTGCAATTTTAAAAGAAAAAAACTCTCGCTACAGCATAAAAAAACATCAAATAGAGCAAAAAAAGTAATGAACGACAAATAAATTTCAAGACAAAATAATAAACAAATCCGGAACCGAAAGACAAAAAAATTGTGTCATTGAATGTGTGTTAGCGGTCTCGTGTGTACTTTATAGTATTTTGCCGTCTTGTGTACATACAAAAGCGAAAGAATTCACAAAATTAAGAACGCAGCATTAAATAAATATTATTATTTCTTTTTATTGGCGAAAAAATTGGACATTGAAATTGTTTGGAATGCTCATATGCATATTTATATATACTTTTTTTTTGTTTGAACAGACTCGATCATTTATAACTCGATTGGAGTTTCATTGAGATAAAGAAAATAAAGACATTGTTTGACATCGGACGTTATATCTGAACTCCATCATTCATCAAAAATATATGCATCTCGATCGCATAACAAAATGAGTGTATCGATATTCAATACATATCGCTACGACAGCGATTTTAATGTGAAATTCACCGAAACCAAAATGCAAACCGCAGTACCACGGGCCAAGCTCGATCATGTTCGTCGTAACTTATTCGGGCCGGTCGATCGAAAAGAGTGCAGTCGGTAAGAAAATATTTTTCTTTTTTCAAATTCATTTTCATTTTATCTTGCGCGTAAACATGAAAAGAGTGTGAGAATTTCGTCTAAATGAATTTAGAAAACTCTCACTTGGGCACGGATGCAAGAGAACGAAACCAAATCGACAATCGATTGTTGAAATGATGTCGAACTTAGTATACAAACATCTCAAATTCAATTTAAATGTGTGCCATTTTTTTAGATTTGCCGAAGAAGAGCTGGCCAAACATCAAATGTCGGCTAGTCAAAAATGGGGCTTTGATTTTGTGCGCGGTTGTCCAATGGAAGATACAAAACTATTTTTATGGGAACGTGTACCACCGACAAACGAAATACCCGAAATGTATGCATTAAGCCGAGCCGCCCATATTCGTCCCATCGAACCGGATCGTACACCATCGAAGAAACGGCATCACATGCGTCGCGATTCATTTCTTGATTTGTATGATGAATTGGCCGATCAATCGAATCGTTATGTGAACACAAGTAAAAGCAATGTACTCGATTTATCGTTCGAAGACGTTGACGGTGGTCATACATCGGCATCGTCATGCGATGAAGATTCATTCGAAGAAGAGGACAATGTGTGCGACTTAAACTGGATGCCATCGACATCGAATATCTCAACCAGCCCATTGGAAACAAATAAAACTACCGAAATTTGTCATGCAACCGATAATATTACATTGGTGCCCGTGTCCAATCGTGGTGAGTTTTACAGTCAAATTTTCAAACATATTCGCAATCATAAACATTGTCCATATATTGATAACCACCATATTTTACATTCGAAATTTGACTCATCACACATGAAATATCGGCTCGTTTCATTTCAGTTGATCGTTCAACAGTTGCATCGCTTCCAAGTTGTGATACTAGCTGTAGTGATAAAACCACAAATAGCAATTGCAATAATGCGAGCAACTCGAGTGGTGCACGGATTTTGCGGAACAGCCCACGGATACGTGAGAAGCGACAACGCAAAATGACAGGTAAGCACTTCATTTTCGACAATACCTTGGCTCTGTTGGGCAATCAACACAAATGGAAGAAGGTTTAGTGAAGTTGAACGGAAACAATTGTTGATGTGAATACATTGATAAAATATTCTCACGTCCAATAAATTCTGTCAAATCATTCGTTACGAATTTCCAATTAATAATAATAAATAATAATCTAACAATGCGACAATGGCAATATAATTTTGTATCGATGAAATGAATGTGTGTTGTGGAGCGTGAATTGCCTGAGAAAATCGAGCAAAACCGACATATTCGATACTATATGATCATGGTACCGTGTAACGCACATGTATGCATACGACTAACCGTCACTTAAATCAGTTGTCGAGTGGCAAGCGACAGCCAAAAGACAATGGGGAGGAAAGAAAAGAAAAGTAATGCACCGAGATATATTGTCCGTTGTGCTTATTAAAATTAAAATTGTTTTTTCAACGCTTTCATGTTTAAAACGCAAATACATTTCTCACACAACAACAAAAATTATGTTAAACAACCGTAAAATAGTGTTTCCTTTTAATTTCTCAATACCTTCTTACAATATGCCAGAAAATCCATAAAGTTTTGTAACGTTCTGACGCAAAGAAATAGAATTATGAACAAATAAAAATTATCCCATAAATTATGACGACTCCTACAAAAAATCGAAATATGGGCGCACGGGCTGAACGAAGCCACTTACAACCGACGAAAATAACAACAAAAAAAAACAAGAAAATTTCAAACAGCTGATGCATATATTCATATATGCACGGCAAGACAAGCAGCCAATCGTGGCTATAAATCTAAAAACCGGCAACAATATGCAGTACGCATGAATATGGAGATTGAGAGAAAAAAAAGGGTAAACGGTGTAATGGTTCACTAAATGCGGTGCATTCGCTCGATGCAATGAACATTTTATATGCGGAATTTCGGTCGTGAACGATGAACGAATGTGAACACAAAAATAAAACCATAACCAATATAAAATAAATGATCTTTATATCCGGAGAATCGGATCGTTATGCCATTTAACTATTTACTATATGCATTCATGATTTTTAACGGTTTTTCATCCATTCACCCCCACTTTTATATCTCTCTCTCTCTCTCTCTCTCTCTCTCTCTCTCTCTCTCTCTCTCCCCCGCTCAATTTTGATTGAATCTCTTATTTTTTCCGTTTCTTTCTATCTGCTCTCAATCACATATCCATCAAATTGAACACCGTGACCTTTTCAATCGTGATTTAATTTGACAATTTCAAAACGGAAGTTTGTTCTTCAATTTTTCCAACACAGAATTTCAAAACGCTTTCTCTTTCTCTGTTTCTCGTCTGTCTCTGTCTGTCTCTGGTCCAATGACGCACATTTAAATATGCCATTCAATTTACCAGAATTTCATCATTTCATTCATTTATCCAAAAAAAATCACTTAATTTTTGTTCTTCGTCGTAGTGACGAATATAAATATCAATGTGTAACATTATGTGTCTGACCCACCCTACTTTTTGTGCTCACATATTTTAAACTAATATGCAGCTAGAGAGCGAAGAAGATCATCTGTTTATGGTTTTATGAATGGAAAGCACCATGAATGATGTGAATAAATAGAGAGAGAGAGTGAATGAGAGTGGCGCATGCTCAAAACTACAGCTGAAGATCGGCATTTGCTTATCTAAATTTAGCGGTGTAAATGTACAAAAACATTTGCTATAACAAGATTGTATGCGCCCAAATAGAAAGCGTTGTAAATTAAAAATGTATGCATTTTCCGTGGAACGTGTTTGCGTTGCATATGGTTTCAGTTGGTTTTTATGTTTAAATCCCGAAAAAAAATCGCATGTGTCGCACAATCGTATATATCTCATTGGCAAATGCTCTTTGCAACAGATATTCGAATCCGAGGGGAGATATTCATTCATACATATTCATTGCTAGGCCATAAATATACAAATAAAACACGGCCAAACAAGATATTGAAAATAGCACACGTGTGTGTCTATAGACAACCATTAAAATGAAAGACGGAAGAAAGAGAGAGAGTGAAAAAATAAAGTATATTTGTGTTTGCCTATTCGATCTCTCGACCTCATCGCATTTCGGATGCATTTCGTGTGCGTTTGTTTTACGTTACAAACGAAAATCCATAATTAATCAAGGTCTTTCACTCAACGAAAAAAAAAATCCATTAAATTCCAGTTTCACGTTTCTCCATGTAAAAAATTTCATCTGTTGCCATTTGTTTCGTTCGTTTCAATCCATAGTTTCACACTTTGAATCACTCTATTTGAACAACGGATCAAGACATACACATTTTTTAAATGACCAAAGAGAGAAAACACACGGATTAATACGGAAATTATTAAAAAATACATAAACGAAAGACAGAGACAACAAATACCGATATTAAAGAAGAACTGAATATTTTCGGTTTTTTTTCGTTGGTTTGAGGGTGGCTATTTACCTTGAACGCATTAGCATAATTTCATGTTTTTTTTTTCGTCGCTGATGCGTTTTGAATAAATTTGATTAAAATGAAACAACAAATGGACAAACGGCGACCTAGCCAATTCGGTAAGCGACAACCGGTAACCGGCAACAGCAGCCGTTTGCATGATTTGTTACGCATGCTGCCTCAAAGTGTGCACTATGCATACCATCGAACACATGGGCATTCGGCTAAATCGCATAAATTATCATTTCATTTTCATTTCAAAACGCGCGCACATACCTTTATCAGAAGGAAACATTTGGAATCGAAAACGGTTAAAAAAAAATTTGTAACATTCCTATAGAAAGAGTTTCTTTTTTATCAGAAAAAAAAGACTACATTCTTTTTAGAAACTTTCTTTTATCAGAGAACTTCATTCACATTTTTTTCTTTACCGGAAATGTTAAAAAATTCGTTAGACATTTTTTGTTAGTGAAATTCATTTGATTCGTTCTAATTTAAGTTTTTCAACTGTGATCGGTAAACTGTGGTTCGTCGAGAATACGAATTAAAAAAAAATTGGTGCTAATGAATTCGATCTAAATGGCTAAGACAATATTTAAATTTGGCTTGTCATTTTAAACACATATGTTTGTTTTTTTCTTCTGATTCGAATCGAGAAAAAAGCCCACATGTGGCCATTTAAAGGCGCGTCTGGTCAAATTGGCCAATATTTGTTTCGAATGATTATCACATTACCGAACATAATGCCAAAAACCATTGAAATGTATAGCGCGTCAGATGGTTTTTTTCCTGTTCGGACTCTAGTGGCGATACAATCTTTTCGAGGGCATTAAAAAAAAGGAATTTCAATTAGCAATACGGCACGAACCAAAAACCGAAATTTAAAAATTGGATCTAATCGTCTGATGATATGATGTGTGCCGACAACCGGTGCGCACACAACTCTGAAAACCAAACAGTTATGTTAATTTAATAAATATCATATATGCATGGGACATCTGTTCACTGATGATGGTCTTGCCGAACGAAAAAAGGACGAAAAGGAAATACAACCGAACAAAAAAAAAACAATGAATTCATCGCGGTAGATCACTATCACTGCAACTACGACGATCGGAATTTAAATGCTATATGCAGCATATGCTTATGAAGAGGCGATCAAATTATGTTGGCACATTTACATAGCCGATCAAAAGTCCTTCACAGCGCATCCGACGATAAATGTGTTAGAACCGATGAAATGAGAGGTACAGAGTGAGAGAAGGGAAAAACGGTTCAGACACAATATTGTCTATAAGAAAATTATTTAATCTTCAGTTAACCGCAAAATGACCAGAACATTATTGACCTTACGGCGGACATACGCGCACCATCTCCTTTCTTCCCTTTTTCTTTCATTTTCTTATTGTTCGTTCGTTCGTATGCGTGCATACATCATGCATTACCATGAAATTCAAACCGATCTTTTTTCTCGGTTTGTGTTTTTTGCTCGATGCATTTCTGTTCCGTCAAATTGAACACGTCATCGATTTTACGCAAAAAAAATTCCAGATCGTGAACTCTGATATAAGTGCCACACACTGTATTTCTTAATGACGGCAACTAGAGCCGAATCGAAAAAAAAATGTCTTGCATTTTTTTATGGTGCACGTTATTTTAAAGACCGATAAAATGTCTTTCATTAACAAAAAGTTTAAACGCAAAACGATATGGAATTGACTCTATGGCATTTTAAATGATCGCTATCGAACAGCTGCGCTCGATTTTTAGTGTGAAATTTCCAAATAGACATCGAACAAGAGAAAAAAATACTAATATCTTTTCCTTTAAAGACCTCCACGAAAGGCAAAAGAAAGAAACGAACAAAAGAAAAACATTTAATCGATGCCTAACAACTGTTTAAACCATCAAAATTGCAATCAATTTATTACAATATCATTTTTTTTTTTTTCAATTTCAGATTTTCTAAAAGAACGCAAGCGCTTGCAGCCAGCCCCGAAGAAAATCTCACCGAAAAAGGCACGACTTTCACCATCATCAAACAATGGCACGATATTATCACACTTCAGACAAACAATGCATTAAATCGTGGACAAGCGTTCTGTCAAATACGATGTGAAGACGACAGCAACTTGCTGGTCACGTCAATTGATTGAAAAAAAAATTAAACTAACAAACAAACAATATCAACAAACAAACGATTATATGCGTCAAATTATTATATAGATCTAAGCACATATTTAAACAATCACACATACACACAATTTAAATTAAGTGTCGCAATTTGAATTGAAATAGTCTTATTATCATATAATCATCCTTTTTTTTGCTTTTTTTCTTCTTCGAAATAGAGTAGGATAGACAACGTTTTGGCTTATCATTGTGTGTTGAACACTATATATATATAAAATTTTGATTTTTGTGAAGAAAAAAACATTTGAATCGAGTAGATACAGTTAGGCAGTAGTTTTGATAACAATTAGCCGCATGCTCCTCGCGTTAAACACCCAATCTTGTAAACTAACATTCAAATGGATCTTTTTTTTTTGTTAAAACAACTGTTTTAATTACATAAAGAGAGAGAAAGAGAAGGGTGTGCGCGAACATGGTTCGAATTCTACTGGAAATGTAGCTATATTTAAGGTCATTAAATGTACATGCTCACATCGGTCGTTTCAAAGCACAATTGATTTCGATACCTCGAATCTCAATTGATCTGAGAAAACTCCACAGTGTCAATTTTTATTATTTTACCCACATTAATTATAGCATTTATGCTTAAGTATCAAACAATCGAATTAATTTCTTTGTTGTCAATTTTGGTTAACATCACTTAAGTATACATCCTATAGAGACATTATTGATTTGGAACATCGACGACTATATTTCTATCGTACTTGGATAAAATAATTCAGAATGAAATTTACTTGTCAATGTTCCAAACACGATTTTAACTCATGGAAATGTCATTTCTTTTTATTAACTCGCTACGGTTATCGAGAAGAACAAAAAAAAATCATATTTGATGAGTTGATTGGAAGAAAAAAATTTAAACATAAAAAAATATTTGGTAATAAAATTTGAAATTGGCACTTTGAAGTTTTTCGAAAACGAAACCAAAACCGAATGGAAAAATGCGCAGAAAAAAAAGAATCAACAAAAATTACTGAAAAAATCCGACGAAGTAATGTGGTGTGTAATTATTCACAAATGCGAAACATGAATAATGTGAAAAATCTGCACGTACATTTCGTTTGGATTTTTTGATCTCATATTTTGTTCATTGCTTTTTAAACAAAGACGAAGAAGAAAAAAGAAAACAAATTAACACAAACGAAACATATTTTTTTGTTTAAGTAAATACCTTTTTCATAGATAAAATAATATCTAAAATAACAATAATATATAGACAAATAATAGACGCCATTCGTCATCTATTTAGTATGTAGAATTAATTCGAATAAAATAAATCAATTTTAAAGTATAGAATTTAATTGATTGTGATTTTCGTTAAATTAATACAAACGCCATTGCGTTTGTATGACGCGTTTTCATTGGCAATGCAAAACAAAATATAGGAAACAAAAAAAGCAATACACATTCGAATGAGTGGGGTATATAATTTTGAAAATGATGTGCAATATACCGAAATTCGATGTGTTGATATATCTCATTCCACTCCTTACGTATTATTTTAACGAAAATAACGAACGAATCTAACGAAGATTTTCTCTGTCGAAACAGACATTTCTTCGTTTTTATAAGATAACACCACTTGTTATTAAATGCGCAATAATCCATACTTTACTTTACTTCCGAAAACATGCAAGTTTTTTCTCATCATAAGATCCATAGAATGCAATTTTTGAAGATACATTTTTTTCAAATCAATAAATTACACATTCAATCGATTCATTATTTGAAACTTTGACATTTTCAGAAAACAGAATTAGAAATTAAAAAAAAAAAAAACAAATCTGAACTGAAACACTTTTTCCACTTCGATATTCTTGCTGAATTCAATGAAAAAATTGACCAAATATTTAAGTTGGATTTTAAAGACAATCAGCTCAGATTTATACCCAATTTTAGCTATAATTAACAATCTTTTTTTGCAACAATTTTTTTACATTCTCTGTTTATGGTTTCTTATTTATTTTGTAATTGTGTTTGTGCAAATGCATTTTTTTTGTCATTTTCTTCAACGCATATAAATCAATTAAGCATCCCAATGGAATAGATAATTTTATTATTAAATGCAACAAATAAATTTGATATCTGCACACAAAAAATTGTTTCACTGAAACAACCTATTTTTTTGTTAAATTACAGTATACAACCGAAGTCAGGTAATTTCTTGGGTAATTTATAATATTCAAATATTTATCGATGAAACCTGCCCACAAAAAAACCTTACAAAATTGAATCAAATATTACAAGCTTTATATTGATCGCGTGTAACGGTATGTTTTTATTGAACACAACCAATTTCTCTTTATTCAAATAAGAGCAAATACACAGTGTTGTTTAACAAAAAAACAAGGCAATTAAATTAGAATTTGCCGAAGAAATGTGCAGAGGGTGCAAGACAAAATTGGTCATTGTTTAAAACGAACACTTTTTTAATTCAAATTGAAAAAATAGAAAAAAAAATTAAAAAATTGAACAAAATAAAAATAAAAAAAAATAAATCCTTTCAAAATCAAAATATTTTTAACATTTTTTTAGCGAAAAGATTTCATATTGTATTAAAAGGAAATACGTCGAAAATTGTTTCGCTTTGAACAAGATCCTGCTCGAATGATTATGAAAATGTGTTGAGTTTCATGAAAAATATTTTCCGTACAAACATCTCATTTTTACCAGAGGCCAATATTTCCATATATTTAAATCGAGGATTTAAAATAATATTGTAACGAATGACTCTAATTGTAACAAACGATATCATAAACGTAATATACATTTTTTCTTCCGAAAAATGAATTAAAAATTATTGGTTTCTACAAACTGAACACAAACATTTGCTCGGCATAAAATTACAGGAAAGGCAACATTTTTGAATTTTTCTTAATTTTGAAAACCAAAAAGAATGTAATGAAAGGTCTTGATTCCAGTTGTTATTTTTGATTTTTGTTTAAAAGGGAAAGTAGAAACCAAACATTTTTTTTTTTTTAAATAAAGATTGTCTTTCAGAAAATCAAAAAGTGACTTATGAAAATAGACCATATTATAAATAAATGACTACCCGATAATGATAAATAAAATTTGTTTGTTGGATATTTCACATTAATAATATAATCCTGTATATAATAATTATATAGTCAAAAAATGAGATTTAACCATAAAAATCATAGGTGCATGGTGTGTTCATTAAAACAATATAATGTTTATCAACAAACATAACATATATTCTTAAAACTCCGTTTCTGGTCTGTTCTCGATCCAGTTTTTGATGGTTTCAATGCTGTTGACATTTTCAATGGCATTTTGTAAGTTTGAATAATCGGCAGCAACATCGTAGCCAGCCAAAAGTTTCCATAGATCAGAAATTCCAGCCAAATAGACATCAACCCAGGTCAACTTTAAATAAATAACAAATAAAATACAAAAATATTCGGAAAGTGAGAAAGTGATAAGTCAAGTATGAACATACCTTTCCAGCAACAAGATAACCGTTGTTTTCTTCGACCATCCCATCTAATTTTCCCAAATACAACGGAATCGTTTCGTTTTTAATGTCCTCCAATTTTTTGGCCTTAATTTCTTCATCGGTTTCTTGATAAACACCAACCAATTCTACAAATCAATAAGTATCGGCGTCATGAATTTATATCATTTTATTGTCCTGTCTTGTAATGGTACTCACTCAAACGGAATTCGTTCATTATATCGGCCACCATATCGATCTGTAGATTTTCCCAATCACTTTCGCCAGATAAGCCAACTTTCTTTCCAAGATATCGTAAAATCGAAACATGTTGATATACACGGCTTTCATCTATTTCAAGCACTGGCATTTGATGCAAAGGCATTGCTACAATGAAAATTGAAACGATAACAACGATGATTATTGATTTTTATCAAAAGAAAAAATGAATATTTTTAACTCAACTTGGCTTGTGCTCTGGCCATTCTTCTTTTGGAATGCGAACGTCCTCGTATTCGATTCCACCATAGGCCAATAAGAGACGAATTGGTTCACCCAAACCACGAAAATTGAAGTAATAGAATTTGTACGTTGGATTTTCTGATGGTTCCGACATAGCTGCTCACTGCGAAATTTAAACTGAGTGACCACAACAATGAAAACCATTTTAATTTAATATTCAAAAAATCGATAGCAATTAAATGGTATGGTGATTGCAATACACGGTGGGTGGAAAGTTTTCACATTGTTAATATTTCAATGTGTTATATTCATGCATGGATCGGAAAAAATGGAATTCATGTCTTTGAAACGATTTGCCTTTAACGACACATTTTTTGTAATCTTCTTTTTCATCATATGACGTGGTCATACAAAAAATATATTTTCCTCGAATCTTGTCTGTTTTCAAATAGAATTGGAAATTTTTCAGAATTGTTGCAATGGAGTGCTCAATTATAAAAATCGCGCAAACACAGCGAACTTGACCTTTCTAATTTTCAATTTTTCTGGAGCACATTTTTTTTTTAAAATAATGAAGACACCTTTTTTCCAACGTGCAGAGAAACAAAATTTGAAATTTCAATGACATTTTTTGTGCGGAACTTGAATCACGATTGAAGAAACCAAATCTGTTGATTTGTGCTTGCAATAAATTAAACTTTCTACACTACTGATTGACACGGTTTTTCAATGCGATTTCTGGTCAATACTCTTCCAAACAATACCAACCGATTTCGTGCACATAAAATTGTGAATCATGAATCATGATGATGTCATGAAGAAAAAAAATTGATGATAACATACCGGAGCAGTGATTCGATGAATTTGAAAAATAAATTTGTAAGTAAGTTATTTTTTTAAAGAAAAAACAATGGTGTGTTGTTTCAAAGGTCAAAATTTTTTTTTTATATTTTTAAAGAATATTTCTTTGCTTATTCAAGAAATGAAATTAGTCGAAAAAATTCTAGAAATGGCAAAAAATTGAAATCGATTTCTTAAACGAATAATTTAAAAAATTGAATATAATAGTTTTCAGCTTACCTTAGTTTTTGTAGAGAACGAAACGATTGATGTAAAACTTTCAAAGAGAGTTCTTTGACTAAATCACAATCAAGTGATTTATGTACAATTTGACTTATTATCCATTAAAAATGTCTCTTTGTATAAGTAGATGGAAAATCAATCCATTCAACGCATATATATGAGTCCTCACGAAATGATTCATTGTGGGAGATTTTTGTTTTGCTTTTTTTTTTTTCAATTTTTCGAAGGACATTAGTTGAACGTTCATTTCATGTATGACAACTCATATTATGTGTATCCAATAGAAATTTTTATCATTGTAATTCTAATTCAAGTATATTGACCTGTGAGCCTCGATTAACCTTGAGTATTTAATTTGAGAAAGATTTTAAATATGTAATTATGAAAATTCTTTAAAAGTAGGATATAATTGACTTGTTGTCAATAAAATTGTATTGATTTTCAACATGTAAATTTTACTTTCATTTCAATTACATTTATATATTCCAGGTTTATTTAACTAAAAACTATGTGAAAAAAACTTCATGTTGCAGTATTATTTGGAGAGAAATAAGAGCTAATTTTTCGTCGCAACGATACAAATGTAATTTGGTTGAGATATTGAAATACAATCTTCGATTAATATTTGTTAGAAGCAAATGCACGGACAATTCTAGTCAAATTCATTTTAATGAATTTATCTCAATGATTTACGTGGTATTTATTTAATTTTGCAAAATTTAAAAATGTTCAATTATCGGAGGGAACATATTCATTTGGGGTCCCTGAATTAGGAACAATATACTTACAATACAAAATTCTCATCGTCAAATAGTGTAATTTTTGATCGGCCAATAGGTTTTCATGATCGGCCATTCATTTTTAAGAATTTTAAAAGAAGTTTAAACTTTATAAAATTTGCAATCAAATGTGAATCAATCATGATATTTTAATTTAATGAATCTCCTCATGATTTCAATTTGAGCCGATGGAACAAACGTATTGATTTTACAAGGTTTGGGTCATTAAATTATACGGTGTACAAGTGTGTGTGTCAAAGTAATAAATATAAATAAAATATATCTTTATGTAATGAGCAAAATGCGACCGTATTACTTTACAAATTATTTTAATTTGGAAAAAGTGTAAAAGGCTGTTCAGTAATGTTCAGGTGTGGAAATATGTAAAATATATAACATGGAACGACTAACTCAATTTCAAAATCAAATTCAAGCTTTAGTAAATCATCTAGTAAGTCGCTAGTCGCATTTCGTTTCTCCCTGGGATTTTTTTGTCCATTGCCATAATTTAAAATTTTTGTGGATTTTCAAAAACTCAGCAATACTGCAGGGACATACGTTACTGCAGTGAAGTGAAAATAAGTGACAATTTACAGACGAACCCATTCAGATAGTGTAGAAAACTGTAATGGATTATTGCGGTGCTTCGAATTTTTTTCAAGGATTTTTGCACTAATAGCAACATTCACGGTGTTCGATATTTCGCCATTCGAACGTTTCATTGGAGTGAAAGGTACCACGAACACATTTTTGGAATTTTTATCGAAACAATTTTTCCAATTTTAACTCTGTGACGATAGATTCTGGTGGATAATTAGTTTTAGCTTTGTATTTTCGTTATGCGGTTTAATGATTCGTGACATATGGAACGATCGGAACGAAAACCCAATAACTTTGAACTATGAAACAGCACACATTTCGTCAATTCCGTTTCCATTCGCTACAGCATCCATTTGGAAGGTAGACTGTTGTGAATGACTTTTCTCATAGGGACACTTGAGCATGTGTGCTTTCAGATGGAGACCACAAGTTTATGTGTACTTACAGGTATCATAGTTTGAAAGATCTCTTCTCATTGTCTACCCAATGTCTACCTTATATATACCTAGGAAATATTAGTTCAAACCACTATTTCTGTGCAGTATCAGAGACTTTTGCTCAGAGCACTGCTCCTCAGCCTGCTCTTGCTCCTCAGAGCTACTCCTCCTCAGAGTTCTGCTCTGAGCAACAGTCTCTGTGCAGTATGAATTTTGGAATGGAAGTTCATCGTTTTGAACTGCTCATATACACCAAAATGAAATTCCAAGAAATTCTTAAGGATCTTAACATTTGTAAGGTCTCTACCTTAAGTCTACCTCAAGAATATATCATCGCTTTTGTAGCGTTTTCCTCAGTTTAGATATTCATAATATGGTGAACGATTAATTTAAAGATACACATAAAAAATGGATAAATTTAGAAAAGAGCAAGGATAAAACCTTTTTTAATGAATCTAAATGAACTTTGTTCACGATTTCATTATTATGCTAAGTTTTGGATATGTCCCATTTGAACATTTCATTATATGAATAATATCTCTTGATTGAAAATTTCCCTCATAACTCCCCAAAGTTCCCTAAAACTCCGAAATTATTTCAAAATATGTTTTAAAAATGCCTATGCATTTGAGCACCCTTCGATCACTGCATGAGTTCATAGTCCGCTGTAATCACATAGTTTATTATTAACTCACATTTTGATAGATCATATATTACCTTAAAATGTAAAATAAACAAATATTTCTTAAAATAGCATTTTGTTGGATGCATTTTTTTATTTAATTACATCAGAAACGCCAAAAATGACAATCAATTATATCTGTTAAACTATTTTGGGACTTTCGACGCAAAAACCGTAGACTTTGTCACTTTAGTCTCTTCATGTTGTTATTTGCTCCGTTGTATGTGATTAAAAGTAATTGAGAGTCAGTTGTGTTTGAAACGGTGTACTTGAATAAAACTAATTGTATACGTCAAGGTCTTTGTACTCAAGATACTAATTTCTCCCAAAATTATGTTCGGTTTTAATTTAGTGAAGTCATTTTTATTGAGTCATGGTCAGTAAGTTGGAAATTCCAAATTTGAACGACCGTTAAACGTAGAGCGAAACGTAAAGTTCTAGGCATTGTTTGTGTAAAATACCTAGTTAAATGTAAATGGACGCACGTCATTTGCGGGAAAAATGAATCAAAAACCGCACCTAAACCTATTCAAATTTATTTTTAAATATATCTGTAGCAGCTAATTGAGCAAAACGAAATTGCATGTTCAAAATATTCCAAAAATAAGATATTTACCAATATTTTAATCTGTTTACCGCATTACAAAAGAATCTATGATCAGGTGAGATAATCAAAGTTCATGCAATCTAAAAACATTATTTTGCCATTGTCAGCACAGATTTATATTTAGAATGTTTATCTCTTATTGACATATTTTGCGTAATGGACCACAATAGAGATGTTGGACTTTCGCTGACGTTAAACCATCATATTCGTGGCTGGTTTTTTTAGATGAACGTAGAAAACTTCTAGTAAACAAAAACATTGAGAGCGGTTTTGCGTGAACACATATATATATATATAAAAGAGCACGAAGAACTGATATCAACCAGTTGAAATCGCAAGTGCAACAAGTGTACATTTCGACAGAACATTGTGTTTCGTAAGTTTAAAAGTGTACATTTTCTTCTTTGTGGTTGCATTTGAATTAATATTGTTCGCTATTTTTTCTTGAGTCCAGATTTGAAAGTGAAAAATGAAGTTTTTATGGGTATTTGCTGTGTTCGCATTGTGCGTTGGTTTTGTCTTTGGATTGCCAACACCGTCAAAAGAGGAGATAGACGAGAAACGGCCGTCACTAGACCTAAAGCAGGAACCGATGAAGTTAGATCAACCGCAAACAGATCAACAAATTGCACGTTTGGCAGCCGATACTAGTGCACAAGGAGATCATGGAAAACGTAACAAAAGATTCATTTGGTATTCCTGGGGATATCCTGGATACTATGTTCATCCATACTATGTCTTGGGTTAAGCTGCAATCATACAAATCGACCATTACCACTCGCTATCTACCGTATTTTTTTTTACTAAAAAGTCAGAAGAATTGGCAATTTTCAAAGGATTTTAAATAACGATATTCAAAAACACTCTTTTATTTGTGATGTGTATTGAAATAAAAATTATGCAAAACAAAAAAAAAACGTGTTAAGTTTCAGTTGTGCTTGAAAAAAAACGTTCCAAAAATGGTATGTATTGATGGCGATGCTTTGAATGTATGAGTGAACTAAGTTGCCACTATTCATACTGCATCGCACTGCATTTGAAAATAATTTATTGTTTCATTTTGACGTTTTTATGAAGAGAGCAGATAATATATTTGGATTTTGTCATCTGGATAACGTTAGGCGATATGAAAGTATGATATGGAGTGAAAACAATAGAAGTGATTGTTGTATTGTATAGGTATAAAAATACTACCATACCTATAACAATCACTTCTATTGTTTTCACTTCGTATCATCGCCTAACGTTATCCAGATGAGCTGAAATATCCAAATGAAAAAATCCAAATATATTGTCTGGAAGAGAGATTGAAAAAAGTAATTCTCTAATCTCTAATTAATTGTCCATTGGAATGTCAAAATTTAGTAGATCTTTGGTGAATTTTGAGATTACAATCAGTCCTTTTAATTTTTGAATTAAAAACATATTGCTAATTTTAAATATAAAACTAGTTTTTTCTTTTGTATAACGGTTCGTTGTGAATATTAATAACTTCAATGACGTTAACTCGCAGATGCATACGTATCGCTGAATAAATAAAATAACAGGTTCTCAAAAGCATTTGTTTATTCGAACATTTATTTCATTGGTAGATATTATATAAAAAAGAAAAAATGTTGGTCAGTCTATCATAAATTCACAGTCGTTCTTTCTTCAAAAACAATACGAAATTTCATTCCCTGATTATTTCTTAGTTTCCAAACAACCTTATATGGTCTAGCTTGGAAACCATTTTTGATTTTTCCAAAAGGTATGGAAAGCAACAGGTTAACTGGCAATAAGTTTTCAGACAATATATTGAACTAACTGGTCAGTTGAGCTGACAGTACGTTAGCCAGCTAAATGGACTAAAACAATAGAAGTTATTGTTATAATGAAACAAGAAAAGTGATTCATCATTAAAACAATAACGTACTGTCAGCTCAACTAACCAGTTAGTTCAATATATTGTCTGTAAGTTTTCCAAATGGCTACATTCTCCATAATGAATTCCTCGAAAAATGAGAGATGTACTCCCAAATGTTATTTCGACGAAGTTTCATCAAAATCTACATATACATTTACATTCCAGTAATACATCGAAAAATGTCGTCTTTATGAACCGATGTGAAGAAAACCGTGTGTAAAATATAATATCTTATTGCTTCAGTAGGTAGTGATACTTAAAACGTTAAACAAACTCTAAGCGCTGTCTATTTATTCGGGAAACTAAAATGAATTTCACTACAATTTTGAGCATTTTCGTTTTGACTTTGGTAAATATTTCATAATTTGATCATCAAAAGCAATGAGACTAAATATTTTCTTGATTTCACAGGCGTCGGTCATGAGTCAACCAAATAAAAACAAAGCAAAGTAATAATGTCCAATATATTTCTTTTGAATTTGAAAATTTTATTTTCGAGCCAATTGCAGGTAGAGTCACTTCTATATCAGCGCCACTTTCAACATTTTTGGTATCGCGGAAAAGTATAAGCAACAAGATTCATGTCATACAGTCAGATGTTCATCCATTGAATATATATGAAGCTGCACATGAAATTAAAGGTACACAAATCTATTGTCATCAAAATTTATCTGAATTTTGAGACTTTGTTTTTTCTTTTCATTTTGTTTAAAAGATGTTGTGGCCTGGAAGGAAATTATTTAAAGATGGTGAAACACATCAAAGAGACAGAACTATCTTTCAAATTCAACTGCGTAGACATAACCAAAAGAATATATGAATTATGTTGCAGCGATCTAAGAGATTATATTTCTTATTTAAATAAAACGTTTGTGGACATCGACACGGAAATTGGCCAACAAATTTTTGATGACTCAGTGTTTTCAAATTATCTATTTTTTTAATGACGTTTAAAAAATTATACTTTCCAGAGACTTCGAACACCTGGAACAATTTGGAGATGAATTGAAGAACATCTATAATAGTGTGTACGTATAAATTATTAAACGACTTATTCATGGACAAATTTATCGATTTTTGACAATTTCATAGAACATCTTCACAATATACAAAACACATGATCGAAAAAGTATGTGTCGATATGCATACAAATATGTGGTTAATGAAAGCTGCGATGGGTGATAACGCTCTTTTGGCAATGATTGATCAACAAGTTTTAAACGTACAACCCGTACAGTGATTTCTACGCTATGTATATACATCGAACACTTTTCTCCAAATGAGAGTGAATTTAATATAATGCCTCCAAACTCTAAAAAAAATTCGTTTCATGTTAGCAAACTTGTACTAGAGGTATTAGATCCAATAAATAAAAATTTATTGAAACAACAAACTTTGCATCTGCACAAATATTTTATAAGAAAAAGTCTGAAATTTTTTTCAAAAATTAAAACAATTTCTTATTTAACGTCGATAAACTTTGTCTATGACGTTAATTTATTATTCCATACATTTCATTATATGAAGCCTATAAAAAACCAGAAAGCAAACGTTAACCCAAATCTCTCTTATTTTCATTTTAACAATAAAATCAATAGATGATCATCTCGCCGATCTGCATTTTCATTAGGCGATAAAAATCAGCCACAAAATATCAATTCGCCAACTCAAATTCATATACATTAAAAATTTAAAATGCAAAATGGACATTTTCATGTTTTTGGTGTCTATCCGTTCGTATACGTGATTTTTTTTTTGAAAATGTCTGACTTTTGAAAGTAAGGCGAACAAAAATTCTCTCTTTGACACCATTAATCTAGCTGTAAATACATGATAATTGTGGGAAGATTCGGGTTAAATAAATTGTACTAATTAAGCAAATTCCATTGACTATTCCAATTTAAAATATACGAACTTCCTATTAAATGAAACGGGTATAAATTGAAATCGTATAAATGTTAATCAACTGGAGCTTTGGAAGCGGTTTCAATTTTAACATTGCAGATTGAAGTTATTGAAAGTCAAAGAATGAAAATGAGATTTATCGTTGTTTTGAGCATTTTGGTCTTGACTTTGGTAAGCAAACATTTTGAATTTAAATTCAACACTAATATGTTTTTTTTTTTCAAATATTCGGCTTCACAGGCGTTTATATTGGCACATCCAAACAAACGTCAAAATAAAGCTACAAGTAAGATAGTTAGATATTTAGTTATATTTTCAGAAGTTTTGAATTCGATCGTTTTTTCAGGTAGTCGTTTAATAACAATGCCACTTGCAACATTTTTTCCATCACGAAACTCTACAAGTGGCGTGATTCATATGATTCAATCCGATATTCATCCAGCGAACATGCATCCAGCTATACACGAATTTAAAGGATCGACTTGGATGGAGAGGTATTCATAATAAATTATCCACGGAATAATTTCATGATTGAAATGGTTCGTTTTTTACAGGTGTTGTGGTCTGAAGGGAGACTATCCATCATTAATGCAACAAATCAAAGACACTGAAATAAAATTCAGTTTCAACTGTATAGATATGTCGAAAAGATTCTATGAGATATGCTGCAGTGATCTAAAAGAAATTATTGCTTTCGTAAATGATTTATTTCAAGGAATTGAAAACGATATTGACGATCATCTGTATATACGGGACGACACTTACGCTGAGTAAGTTTTCCATTGAAATTTTCAGACGTATGATTATGGTGGACAATTGCTACTAACTGGATGCGTCTGTGGTATGTCTTTACTGTGGTGCCCACACGTACATCGAAATTGAATGTCGCACACACAAGTTGTATGCTAGACTGTTGATGTACACATAGGCAACGCAACAAATGCATACCGTAGACACGTGAAAATTTAGCATTTCACTCTTTTTATAAATCAAAAAATCGCATTTTTAGAGACATTAAAGACATTCACAAATATGGGGATGAATTAAAACAAATACATGATAGCATGTAAGTATCTCTCACTAGAAGGCACTATCATTTGAATGAGAAATGAACCCCTTTGTGAAATTTTGCAGGAAAACATCACAGTATACAAAACATATGATCGAGAAAATATGTGTTGATATGCACACAAATGTGTGGCTTATGGCATCTGCACTGGGTGAAAATGTTCCACTGGAAATGATGGGCCAACTAGTTTTAAACGCAGAACCCGCACAATGATTTTTATAACATACATTGATAGATAATCAGTTATCATATATGTGGACGTTCACAAAAAATCTTTATTTAATTTTTTTTAATTGTCAATGCTTAGTTTGAGCGGATATTTAGAATTTGAATGTCAATATAATTTAATCACTGTACGAACCAATTTCTGAAGTTGAAAATACGAGGATTTCGGAAATCTATATTTTTAATAAAAAAAATTATTGACTTGAATAAACGATAATTGAAGAATATATCGCATTTCGCATACTTTAAACGTTGCATTACATACAACGAAAAAATATATAAGAAAACACAGCAGTTATAAATGCTGTGTACAGCATCACTTTTTAACCATGGAAAAATAAGTGCACACAATTTATACAATAAATTGACATAAAATTCAATTATATTTCTCACACTTTAATTGAAACAAAAAAAACACAAGTTTAACATTTGCGTTACGTCACTCTAATTTTGTTAATAATTAAAAAATAATAATTTTCGTTATAATCGAGGCGATAAACAATATATCTAGTAATGACTCGAATTCGCTATTTTTTTTTATTTGAAATCCTTTATAAATTCATATTTTTCAGAAAGTTCGAGTTCTAAATATTCCGAATAAATATCAATCAACCGTTGCTTTCGAAATTAGTTCAATTCAAAACGTAAAGCGTTCCGAGTTGAAAGTTCCCAACGTTAAAGAATACGAATAGTTAAAGAATGAGGTCGCTCGTTATTTTGAGTATTTTATTATTGAATTTGGTAAATAAACATTTTACTATTTAAACATTAATCGAACAAGAACAATAAACAAATATCTTAAAAGAATTCGATTTTGCAGGCGTCAGCAATGGTTAATCCAAATAAGAGTTTGAGTAGGAACAGTTTTCCTTTTAGTTTCGGGAAGCTTGAATTTTCAAAAGTATTGATTTTGATAACTTTTTGATCTAGGTATTCACCAAATAGTCATGCCATATGCAACATTCTTGCCATCACGCAGTTCGATTAGTAAAAAGATTCATATAATCCAAGCCGACGTTCATCCAGCAAATATACACAAAGTATCAGAAGAAATTAAAGAATCGGCATGGATGGAGAGGTATTCATAATAAATTATCCACTTGACTATTGCGTGAATAAATTAGTTTGTTTCTTCTTAAAGATGTTGTGGTCTGAATGGTGACTACAAAATATTGGTGAATCAAGTCAATAACACTGAGTTAAAATTCAGTTTCAACTGCATAGATATGTCAAAAAAGTTGTATGAATTTTGTTACAGTGATCTTACTGAGACTCTTGATTACTTAAACGAAATGTTTGAGGACTTCGATCGACATGTCAGAGAACATTTGTATCGATACGATTATGATATATACGAAGAGTGAGTTTTCTGCTTTTAATTTATGGATTCGGACTTTCGAGTAAAACAAAAATTCCAAAATCATTTAGAAACATAAAAGTACTGGTATCATATGGGGATGAATTTAAGAAAATCCATGATAGTTTGTATGATTTCTCATATTTAGCTGTGGAACACGTTTTTCTCATCAAATTTTCGATTTTTTTTCGTTTCAGAACAACTTCACAGCATACAAAACATTTCATCGAGAAGATGTGTGTAGATATGTTCACAAATATACTATTGATGGGAGCTTCACTTGGCCCAAATGCCCCAATAAATTTTTCTGAGATTTTTTTGAAAGAGGTTGTATGAAATGTGCAGATAAATCAATTATAATATCAAATCAACCAATATAGGAAACAAACTGATTCACACAATATTATGTCTTTCCACAATGCCGAAGGCAACAAGATCCCGTAATTGACAATTTTGATTGTCGAGTGTTGTAAATGAATGCACATGTGTTTCGAAAGTTATAAATAATGACATAAGGCCATTTTCGCAACACGTACACGCATAATATCTGTTTCTCTAATGACACAAGAATAAAGAATATTACGTTTTGTATATCCATTTAGATACTTTTGTGTACTTAATAAATTGTTACATTCATTGTTGTACACACGAAAGCGAAAAAATTTAACGTGTCAATTAGAACACAGTTATTGTGAAAGCATTATAATTTTTTTATAAGTTCTTAGTTTTCTTGCAAGATTTCATTAAAGTATAACACCTTCACATATTCACAAAATCTCAATTTTTATTTGGGTATTACATTTCACTAAAATTTCGGGTGAATGAACATTCATTGTCGAATATTCATATATGTTCAAATGCGTTCACGTATAGCTTCGTCTATATATTTTCGAATCTTTTTTATTTGGATTGGGACTTTGAACTAGAATTTGAACCCGAAGAAAATGTAGTTTTTGATTAAAATGTCCCTCTTCTTTTCCAATTAGAAGAAGTCCCATTTTTGGTGGCACGTAGAGCTTATGAGTGTCAACAGTTCCTCTGTAAAATAGTAAATAAAAAAAATCAAACTCTTAATCCTCTATAAAATAAACAATTAAAAATTACTCAATATCGGAATGGGTGGAAGAAACGAATGTTTCCATTTGGTCAGGAAGTCCATCAAGTGGTACATTTACATCGACAATATTCGATGATGAACCAAAATTAAGAATAATTGCAACGACATCAGTTTCACCATCAATTTGTCTTTTATATGCAAGTATATTATTGTTGATAGCTTCGATTGTAAGTGCGCCATATTTCATCGTTGGATTTTTTCGCAATTCGCACAAATTTTGAAAAACATTTAAATGACTGCGATTTGATGATTTTTGCAATTGAACAATGACTAATTTATAATTGGTAGAGATTGGAAGCCAGGTTTTTTTCGTTGTACTACTGAAACCCGCTTTTATTGTATTGTCCCATTGCATCGGTGTTCGACACTTATCACGACCATTAAAATCAATTATGTCTTCATCCGCCATTGCCACATGAATGGGTCAAAATGAAAATCCGACTTGTACGCAGAGTCTATAAAAGTGTAACATGGAGTTTTTTTTACATAGTTTATGTAAACAAAACGCTGTGTTCCACTTTTATAGACTCTGCGTGCAAGTCGGATTTTTATTCTGGCCTACCTATCTCTTCGCCCTTTTTGAATTTTGAAAATGATTAGATTAGAAATACGTTTTTTTACATCATTTTTAAATTGGCATACATCTATTGGAAATATCGAGAGGAGAGTATGTTTTTATTCAGACATTACTCAGCCATAAGCGCTGAATAACATACTCTCTTCTCGATATATTCAATAGACATAATAAGTATAATAAATAATAACATAGTTTTTTGAGTCGAATTGTTACTGGCCGCTAGTAGCGAGAAAACACCACAAAGTTTTGTTTCACGATGATAATGCTAAGCCATATCGGGCACACATCGTCAAACAAAAGGATGTATATTCAAAATGCCGGCGAGGTCGATTTTTTTTTCAATCATCTCATTCAACTCTACCTGAAGTCTCCTTAAGTATACACAATTCAAAAAAGTGTACCTCGATGTTGAAAAAAATATTCATGGGTCAATATTTCTGTATATTCAACTTGCCGCTAGGCTTCACTAGCACGGAAACTATTTTTAGCCTCCACGTTTTTATAGTCCTAATCAAGTCTATCTAAAGTCTACCTTTAGAATAATATATTTTTACCTTGCTCTTTTCCGTAGGCTTGCAGTGTTCAGAGATCGCGTAGTTGGAATTACGAAACTTTTTGACAGCTTATAAAAACTGCGAAAGTACATGCTATAAATCACTAGTACTATTGAATTGAATACCCTGTGATTTGGATGTGAAAATTTTTTTCGCGAAAATTATTCGAATTTGCTAGGGTTTTTGATTCTAAAAGTGAAGACCTTTTTTTTAGCTCATCAAAGTAGAAAATTGAGGAGAATTCTTTCAATTTCCTAGGTTTTTTGGTTCAGAGTGAATTTTTTCTGATTTGCTTGGGTTTTTCGCGGAGAAAATTCTTTCGATTTGGTAGGGATTTTCGCCTCAAAAAGTGACTTCCAAAAAAAAAAAAAACGCAAATTTTGTCTGATTTGCTAGAGAAATTTTTGGTTTCGAAGAACAGTTTTTACTAAAAAAATACCAAAATCGGAGAATGTACTAAAGGAGAATGCACATAAATTGATGTGTATTGAAGCTGGAATGCTTTTCAACCAAAAATTATTGATTATAGCTTTGGTATGCAGTCGTTTGGACGTTCCATATAGGTCAAAGACTGATATTTTTATTGAACATTGGGAAATGTAGAAATATGGTCGAATCGGGTCGAATGGTCACTTTTTGGTTACCTTCACAAGTTACATAAATTTACTTCCCGAAGTATTCCAATCATCGAGTTTGTCCAGTTGTAGCTTACAAACAATTTCATTGTCACATTTCCATACTGACCGATGTAAAGCTTTATTTTCACCTCACAGTATGAAATGAACAATTTTTCAAAAAACCAAATTTGACATAACATTCCTTTGAAATCATTATTTTTCGACTAGAATCGAAAGAATTCGATGATATATCAAAGATATAGTCGTTAATTTTTTTTATATAAAGACATTTGTAGAGTTCTACTTTTGTTGTTTTATTTGGAATTGTTTTGGAAATGTTCCATTTTATGCTTCGATTTTTCAAATATATTGAAAATATACATGAAAAAAGCTAAACATGCGCTATAAATTGAAATATGCTCTATAAACCAAAATATGAATCGTTGCGGCGAAAGAGAAAAATTATGAATTGTTTATTTGTTGTATTACAACAAATAAACCGTGTGAAAAAAAACTTCATGTTGCAGTATTATTTGGAGAAAAATAAGAGCTACTGTTTCGCCGCAACGATTCATATGCAAAATAATGCATGACTATCCGCGCCCTATTCATTTGAAATGAAACGAAATAGCACGTTATAGCAAATATAATTATTGTACCAACGTAAGTGTTTTATAACCACAACAATCACTTCTATTGTTTTATCAAAAATAGCGTGTT